AGCTTCCAGTTGTCTTCTCCCAGTGGAGCTGTGTAAACAATGTTAACTTTTTCCAGCAAATGATGTGTGACAATATGCATGGAGTGTTGCCAACCAGGGAAGCTCACCTGAGTCTTGGTGTCCAGAGTTTTTATTGAGGCTCAGTCGTGTAGACACGATTGCTTGCTTATGTGGCTGACCTTAGTTTCCAGCCCCTTTGGAAGCTGAGCTGATACCATGTGGCCCAAAGCCTCCACCGTAAATTGCATTGTTAGCATAGACTGTCTGATGTGGCCCCAGACCCCCACTGTAAATCACATTGTTAGCATGGACTATCTGGTGTGGCTCAAGGCCCCAGACGCTCTTATCAGGCAGGACATCACAAGGATTGAGAGATTACCATCTCAGGAGCCAAGAGCAAAGGCCAGACCTCTCTTTGGGCAAGGTTAGTCTTTTATTACACATGTGTATTTAGAAGTGTATTGGTTAATTTCCAAGTTTGTAGCATTTTCCAGATATTTTTCTGTTATAGAGATCTAGTCCAATTCTGTTGTGGTCAGAGAACATACTTTGTGTGATTTCAGTTCTTTGTTTTATGGTCCATATTTGGTCTATCTTGGAAAATATTCCATATGTATTTGAGAAGAATATTTTGCTGTTTTGTGATGTTTTCTTCTTTTCCTGTACACTGGGATATTTTTGTCTAAGATTAGAATTATTTGGTCATTGAAAGATTTTTAGAACTCACCAGTAAATATCTGGGCTATGTCTCTCCACCTCTCCCAAACCTGGGAAACAAGTTGCTCTTTCAATTTTATTAATAATTGTAGCTCTGTCCATATTTTAAAAATATTCCTCTGGACTCAATTTTGTTAGGTCTTCCCTGCCCTGCACCTCTCCCCCCAGTCCCCCCCGAACACACACACTTTTCTCTCTGGTATTTTTGCTTTTACTATGCAGCCATCACCATCTGAATTTTTTCATCACCCTTAACAGAAGCTCAGTGCCCCTAGGAACCACTGGTAACCACTAATAAACTTTGGTCTCTGTACATTTGCCTATTCTAGGTATTTCAAATGAGTGGGATCATCACAATATTTGTCCTTTTTATTTCATTCAGCATAGTATTTTCAAGGTTCATCCATGTTGTAGCATGTATCAGGACTTCATTTCTCTTTATGGTAGACTAATATTCCACTGTATGTACATAAACATTTTGTTTATCCATTCATGTGTTGATGGACAGTTAGGTTGTTTCCACCTTTGGCTGTCGTGAATAGTGCTGCACTGAACATTTATGCACGTGCATCTGTTTGCGTTCCTGCTTTCAGTTCTTTTGGGAATATACCTAGAAGTGAAATTGCTGGGTCATATGATAATTCTGTTTAATTTTTTGAGGTACTGCCAAACTTTTTTTGATAGTGGCTGCACCATTTTACATTCCCACCAATATTTTTTTTCTTTTACCTTGTAATAGCCATCCTAATGGGGGTGAGGTGGTGTCCCATTGTGGTTTTGATTTACATTTTTCTAATGACTAATGATGTTGAGCCTCTTTTCATGTGCTTGTTGGCCATTTGTATATCTTTGGTGAAATGTTTATTGAAGTCTTTTGCCTGTTTTTTGATTGGGTTGTTTGTCTTTTTTTGCTCAGTTGTAGGACTTTATATATTCTAGAAATTACACCTGATAGATGGTTTCCAAAATTTTTAGCCCAGTCTCTATGTTGTATCTTCACTTTGTTGATAAAGTCCTTTGATGCGCAGATGGTTTTAATGTTTATGAAGTCAGGTTTATCTGTTTTGTCTTTTACTGCTCCTGTTTTGGTGTCATGTCTAAAAACTGATAGTCAGAAACTAGATCGTGAAGCATTACTGCATGTTTTCTTTTATGAGTTTTATGGTTTTAGTTCTTAAATTTAGGTCCTTGATCCATTTTTAGTTAACTTTTGTATATGATATGAGGCAGCTTCATTCTTTTGCACGTGGAAATTCCGTTGTCGCAGCACCATTTATTAAGCAGATTATTCTTTACCCATTGGATGTACTTAGCATCCTCGTCAAAAACCAATTAACTATAGAAGTATGTGTTTATTTTTGGATTCTCAATTCTATTCCATTGGTCTATCAGTCAGACATTCAACTACTAGCCAAAAGATAGACATTTTGCACCGTCCAGAAACACTTTAGTAGGCCTGAGATATGCTTCTAAGAGGTCACAGCCTTGAAAATCCTGTGGAGCAGTTCTGCTCTGCACACATGGGGTCTATGTAAGTCGCAATCAACTTGATGGCAGCTAACAACAGCAACATATGTCTATCATTAGACAGTATCAAACTTGATTACTGTAGCTTTATAGTATGTTTTGCGATTGGGAAGTGTGAGTCCTCCTGCTTTGTTCTTTTTCAAGATTGCTTTGGCTATCTGGGGCCCCTTTCAGTGCCATATAAATATGAGGATTGGGTTTTCCATTTCTGCAAAGAAAGCTTTTGGAATTTTGATGGAGATTGCATTGAATTTATAGATTGCTTTGGCTAGTATCTTAAAAATAATTACCTTTTCCAGTCAATGAATGCAGAATGCCCTTCGTTAATTTAGGTCTTCTTTAATTTCTTTTAGTAATGTTTTATAGTTTTCAGTGTATCTTTCTTTTTTATGGTTTCATTTTTTGTCCATTTTAAACAAGTATGTAACTATGTCATATTTACAATAAGATAAACAAAGAAGAACATGATGAACACGGATATATCCACTGCACAGGCAAAGCAGTTAAACCTTTCCAGTACTGTTTATTTCTACATATAGTGCTTGCCTCCTCTCTTACACCGTAGATCATATCTAATTCTTTAGTTTTTTTTTAAGGATATGAAATAGAGCATGACTTTAAGTAGCTCTTCCTTCCTCCCAGTGGGTTTGCAAAGTATACTAGGATTTTAATTTGATAAATTTTTGAGAGTTGGATTAGAAATTAATTTGTGATCTGGTTCCATTTTCTTTTCTTTGTTATTTCTACTTAAGGAATAAAATCTTTCCTGTAGATTTGAGATTTTCAAATGATTTTGTTCAAAAAATTTTCTCCTCTACCTGCTGTTCACCTCTGGTAGGTCGCTATTAGTGGGAATTGACTTGATGGCATACAACAACAACAACTCCAGCATATTGTTAAACATTTTAAGTATTGTTTATGTAGAATTTATTGACAATTAGTATGTCATCCATTGGTTTTGGTTTCAGTTCTTCTACAAACTATTTAAATTATTTACTTATTTAAATCATAATCCTTTTCTAACTGGGGAGTAAATTTTAAATGTTCACTTAACTAAAAACATGTTTCTCGTGCTGTCTTTTTTTTTTTAATTTGATTAACTGTTTATTCTGTGTTTTTTTTTCTGGGGTTACCTTGAAGTTTAATTGTTCTTTTGACCTGTTTACCCTCAGGTGAAATCAGAGGTAACTTATTTTTGCCTGTTGGCCCTAGATAGTTTCCAAGTAGCTCTAAAATTAGTACCATTATCAGGAGACTGGGACTTTTCTCAGGAGTCTCAGGCAGAAATTGCATCAGTAATTCTGTTAGTGAATTTTGATGCCCTCCCTGTTTTGGAAGATGGGAGTACTGGGGTATGTTGGCCTATTGTAAGTCTCTGAATAAGATTTCAGACTTTTCTCTGCTGATTTATGTGAATTTTAAAAATAAGTGATGGCTTTTATTTTCAGAGGTGCTTAAAAACTTGGAAGCACTTAGAAGTACAGCAGTTTTCCCTAATGAAAACTCAGAATTAACCATTGCTTTTTGAGTAATGTAGTTTTGTTTAAGGTATGAGGGCTTTTAAAATATTGAGCTCTTACCTGGTTGGATCTGCTGTAAGGAGAAAAGAATTTTTAGAATTATTTAAAAAAAAAAAAAAACACTAGTTTTACGGTCCCTTTTACACTTTATTTAGCATAGCCAAGAGTTGATTCAATTTACCTGTGTCAAAGTAACACAGTGTCAAAGTATATGACAAAATAGAACTTCTCCGTAAGGTTTCCTAGGCCAGTTTTCCCAGTAAATAATGTTTTTGTAGCATTTTCCTCACCTGATTAGTCCAGGATTGTGTACTTCATGTAATTGTCATGCTTCTTTATTCTCTTTTAATCTGGAACAGCTCTTCAACCTTTCTTTGACTTTCACGACAGTGGTATTTTCAAAGACTGGTTCTTTTTTTTTGGCTTCAACAAACAAATTTATTCTCGCGGTTAAGGAGGCTAGAAGTCTGAATTCAGGGCGCCAGCTCTAGGGGAAGGCTTTCTCTCTCTTTTGGCTCCAGGGGAAGGTCTGTGTCTCCTTTCAGTATCTGTGGGCCCAGCATTCCTTGGAGATCTCCATGTGTCTTGGCATCAGTCTTCCCCTGGGTCTAGAAAGTTCTCAGCGCAGGGACCCTGGGTCCAAAGGATGCACTCCTCTCCCAGCTCGTCTTTCTTGGTTGTAGGAGGTCCGTCCGCAAAGGCTAATTGTTTTGTAGAGTGTCCTTCAAGTTCAGTCTCCATGTTTGTTTCCTCATAGTTTGATTCAGGTTATGCATTTTTGGCAGGAACTCTACATTATAGTACATAAAAGATGGTATGTTCATTTCAGTGTATCACAACAAGAAGTACATGATACCAAGTAGTTAACTTATGGATAAATTATATGACTTGGTTAAGGTGGTGTCCACCAGGTTTATTGTCTCTAAAGTTATCATTTTTTTCTTTGTCATTAATAAGTAATCTGTGGGGAGGTAACATTGAGACATTGTAACTATCTTGTTTCCCAATAAACTTTGATCCAGCGGTTCTTATGTCTTTGATGAGTTTTGTCTAAATTAGTTATTACTTTGGTGGTTGCAAAATGGCAGATGCTAAGATTATGATAACAATTTCTAGGGTTTCGGTTTTAGTGTTCTTGAGAGCTCTTTATTTAATAGTGATAGTTGTAAAGACTTGCCTGTTAGATGCTTAGGTCATGGCTTTTTAGTTTTTGTGATTTTTTTTTTTTTTTTTTAGGTTCATGTACTGGACAGACTGGGGAGAAGTGCCAAAGATAGAACGTGCTGGAATGGATGGTTCAAGTCGCTTCGTTATAATAAACACTGAAATTTACTGGCCAAATGGACTGACTTTAGATTATGAGGAACGGAAGCTTTATTGGGCAGATGCAAAACTTAATTTCATCCATAAATCAAATCTGGATGGAACAAATCGGTAAGATTATCTTATGTTTTTTATTTTATTTTTTTAACTTTAAGAAAACTCCATGATGGCTTACTATAGTAATCAAATTAGGAAGCCTAATTTTATTAAGAAGAAGGTAGTGTATTTTCAGATGTCAAAGAGGAAGAACAGCAGACTTTTAGTTTTTTCTTAAAAAAAGTAATTACATTTCTTATCTTGGTAGCATTGAGAGTTTATGGACTGTGTTTTCTGCTTATTCTAAGCGAATGTCATTTTTTAGTGGTTCTAACCCAAGGGTATTACTTCTGGTGCCTCCAGGGTATTTGGAAATGTGGGGAATTTTGGTTAATACAACGATTGGGAGTGGTACTGGCATTTTAATTCCTTGGGGTGGGGGGGATACTAAATATCCTATAATGTGTTGGAAATCCAATAAACAGAGAATTGTCTCTCTCAGAATTACTGTTAGAGTCTCCCAGTGCCGCTTGAGGAAGCTCTTTTGATATAATACCTAGACTAGGACAGGGGTCAGCTAGCTTTTTCTGTTAAGGACTAGATAGTAAATATTTTAGACTTATGGATATAATCTCTGTTGCAACTAGTCACCTCTGCTCTTATAGTGCAAAAATAGCCATAGATAATGCATAAGGGAATGGGCTTGGCTGTGTTCCAGTAAAACTTTATTTATAAAAATAGTCTGGCCTGTGGACTGCAATTTGCTGACTCCCTGACTAGGAAAAAGAACCGGTATCATGTCCACTACTCAAGTATTCGAGGAAGACACAGTCTATAAGACTTGAATGTGCAGTTTCTACTCAGATCATGTTCAGATTTTAAAGACACTTTATATTTGCATTCTTGTTTGAAACGTTATTAATTATGATTGTATTGATTATCCAGCAGAAACAGAGAGTCTTCGGTGGTTGAAGGGATTTTCAAAGTGTAAAGATTTGTAAACTCTGAACTGTGAATATGGGAGCATTTTAAAAGTATTGAAAACCAGGAAAAGTTTAAAGAATTCATTAAAATTAACGTTTGTATTCATGGAATTGGAGTATTCTTTGCCTGGTTTCAAAAGAATGAAACAGTTTATAAGATTGATTTAAAAACTATTAGAAATATGTGTTAAAAAGGTAGTAAGTATATGATGAATATAAAAACACATAATTGCTGTGTTTGAGTTTCAAATTTGACTTTGAGAGGGATTCTGGGAAAATAACTATGGCCATGTTATAGTGTTTTATTTTTTTAAATTTCCTCTGAATACCTACACAGAAACTGACAGAAACTAGACAGTAAGTTCAAAAGCAGTGATGAAATTGAATCTAACCCAGAACACAAGGAGGTAAGGGAAAACCACCAACAACCATAATATTTTCATGGTTATCACAGTCTATGCAGGAGTGAGCAGAGAGAGTCACTGGGGTGTCTCATGGGACTTAAGAGCAGGAGAGCTCCTAAATAGCTTCAGCTATTTACTAGACAATGTAGTGGGCTATTTTAAGAACAACAGCTGAAATGGCCGGGTGGGGGTTTGCTCACTCCAATATCAAGTGCAGTGTGACCATGCTAAAGATAGAATAGAGCAGTCTAGCCCTAATGAACTCTAGAAATGTACCTACCAGGGTTCTTTTCCAGGATAGAGCATCAAATTGAGTAGAAACAAAATTGAGCCAGGACAGTAGTAGAATCTACTGAGCAGGACAGGGATAACAGAGAGGAAGGAAAGAGAAGGTTCACATAAGTATGGGGAGATCTCAGAAAGCAGGCTGCCGTATTTTTGAACAGTACATGAAAACAGCAGAAGAGGGAATTCTGTAAAGCTAGAAGAACTACCTCAAATGCCTCTTCTAAGAGTTTAGGTAAACTAATTTCACATAAACATGAACAACAGAAAAGTATCAAGGTGAAATCCCATTTAAAGTTTTTATGAAAGGAAAAAAGAACGAGGAACAGAACAATATTCCTTCATACAGTGGAAGAACCCCAGAAAGACGTGACAATAGAACAGATCAAAACTCTCTTTTAAAAAAGCTCTAAAAGTCGTTGAGAAACCAGCCTTATATGAAAGAACAACATAACTCAAAATTAGAAAATTCAGATGTGAGCTGACAGAACTCAGGAAAGAATTACAAATAAAAGAAAAAAAATGATTTCATAAATAAAGTCTGAACTAAAAGGAACACAAGAGTGAATAACCAGAAAAGGCCTTTAAGTAGAAGTTGAAAAGCAGGAGTAAGATCAAAAAGATAAAAAGGATTTGAGAGAAGGTGACAAATATAGACGATAGGCAAAGAAGATACAACTTACAGATAAAAAGAGTCTTTTTGGAAGAAAACCAAAGCAAGGGAACGGAACAAATATGAAAAACTGTAATTCAGGAAAACTTTCCTTAAATAAAAGAAGATTTGAAACTACAGATTGCAAGAGAACGCTCTGTCCCTGGAACTGTGTAGAACTATGTAACCAGAGCAAATAACATCAAGACATATTCTTGTAAAATTATTTTAAAGGAAAAGAAAAATTCTGGGTTGCTATAAAAAATGAGTAAATGACTTAAAAGGGAAAGAAACTGGATTAGCATTAGGTTTTCTAATAGCAACACTCTATGCCAAAAGAAAACAGAGCAGTATATTTAGGATACTCAAGGGAGAGAAAGTATGAACCAAGGATTTATATCTAGCAAAATTGACTTTCATGGATAAAGTCATAGACAAACTATTATCTACATGCAAGAAATCAGGGAATATTGTTTCCCTGAGTCCTTCCTGAGAAATATACTAGAGAATGAGCTTTCAGTGAAGAGTGAGACATCAAAATAAGGCTTTGTGGTGCCAATTCAACATATAATTACTTGTAGAATTAAGGTAAAGGAAGATTAAAATTGAGAGAGTATAGTATGTAATGGCTGTACATTTAGATAATATAGATAAAGTACAGCTATAAAAAACTGGAGGGAGAATAGAGGTAATATAGGCAAATATTTTGTTAAACTCATCATAGTTACTACATTGTCATAGGTGTTAGTGTTGTTCTTCTGAGGCTGTGTCCAATATTGGAGCCAGTGAATGAGTAACTATGGGATATGTTAATTCTATTCCTCCGGCATATGCAGAATTCTTGGTGTGGAAGAAGGAAATATAGATGTACTACAGTCAAGATTAAGTAAAAAAACAAACAAAAAAACCAGTAATCCTGAGTTTGAATTGAAAATGTTAGCGTGAACTCATTAGGTATTTTATCTTAAAAAGATACTTATATACAAATACATATATTTGTCTCTTGTGACCCCAGAAGTTGTTAGATGCCGTCAAGTTGGCCCTGACTCATGGCGATCCCATGTGTGAAGAGGACTAGAAAAAATGACTAGCAGCGGGCATCTGTAGTACCTAGATTGTAGTCTTAGGAAACTATTCCATCGGAAAAGAAACCAAGCCTTCCTGGAGAAACTACTGATTATAGGTCTTGGGCAAGAAGTGTACAACATGAGCTAAAACATTGTGTCATACCAGATAGCGGGGAAGCTATTAAAGATTACTTGAGTCATTTTGAGGGAGCCCTGGTGGCGCAGTGGTTAAAGTGATCGACTGCTAACTGAAGAGTCGGCGGTTTGAAACTACCAGCAGCTCCTTCTGAGAGAGATGTGGCAGTCTGCTTCTGTAGAGATTTACAACCTTGGAAACTCCGTGAGGTCGCAATAAGTCAGAATCAACTTGACGGCAGTTGGGTTTTGGGTTTGGTTTAGAGTCATTTTGAAGGAGCCCTGGTGGTGCAGTCGTTAAGTGCTCAGCTGCTAACCAAAAGGTCGGCGGTTTGAACCCACCAGCTGCTCCGCGGGAGAAAAGACCTGGCAGTCTGCTCCTGTAAAGATTGCAGCTTAAGAAACTATGAGGCAGTTCTACTCTGTCATACAGGGTTGCTATGAGTCAGTATTGATTTGACAGCACACAACAACAGTCATTTCAGGACTCAAGAAGTAACTCAAGAAGCCTCCCAGTGGCCAAAGATTGATTGAAACTTAACAAGCATGCTTAAATGAATTCATAATGATATTTAAAAAAAGGAATTTTTCGCTTTCAGAGGATGATAGGGAAACTAATTCATTACCTTGAACATTGGTAAATAAAAAGAAAGAATCAAGTATTTATCTTGCCTTTCCTATATCAGTGTACTACTGGCTAACAAAATAGTAGCTATGGGAAGCTAGTCCAGCTAATGAATGAAAAAGAAATGATAAAATTAGAATATCACCATTTTACAACTTCCAGTGAACTAATGGATGTAGACAGTGAGCATCAACAGCAGCTGAATAATAACATCACAAAAAGAGAAAGAACAGACATTATTCCCCTTTGGATGGAAAAACACAGCACCATCTGTAGTTTTGTCAAAGGGATCAGTTGAACATAAGTTTGATCAAGAGACTGTATCCTGCTGGCCATTTCCAGGAAAAACAGAGGACTGTGGAACATACTGAACTGCACCATGTGTATGCTGTCAGCGGGTGTGGACATACAAGTCAAGTATCCTCGGTCCTTCAGCAGTTAAAAGAGACTTAAAAAATGTATCAGATGAAAAAAAAATCGTGGGCTAAACTAATTTTTCTATGAATATACATTTGGGTGACAAAACTAAAGAAAGAAAAGGAAATGACTTACTATAAAGTCAGAATAATGATTACTTTTGTGGAGAGGGAGAGATATTGGGACAGGGTACACAAAGGGACTTGCAGGGTGGTTGGCAAAGATCTCTTTCTTGATCTGGGTGAAGGTTAAAAGGGTGTTTGCCTTATGGAAAGTCACTTGTCCTGTGTAGCTTTCTTTGTTTGTGATTTATTTTACAATAAAAAGATTGTATCTTAAGTTTCCCAGCAGCTAGGGTAAATGAGTTACCAGCACACATTATTGGAAAGGTGGAAACTTACGAGTTCTTTAGGAGAGAAGTTTTTCATTGTATTAAATTTGAGAATAAATTTTTCACATGGGACCAGTAAGGGATATAATGGATGTTTGTTAGTGCGTGCGCGCGCG